ATCGAAAAAGCTAAACATATGTGGGCTGATATGCTTAATTGGAGGAAGGAGTTTGGTGTTGACACAATAGGTGAAGTAAGTACATGTTAAACTTTTTCTTAAAGAATATATATGAAAAATCTGTATCCTTATTATGCTGACAATTTCCCCCAGGATTTTGAATTCAAAGAGAAAAATGAAGTTCTGAGGTACTATCCTCATGGATATCATGGGGTGGATAAAGAAGGAAGACCTGTTTACATCGAAAGGTTGGGGAAAGTGGATCCAAACAAACTTATGCAAGTGACAACCATGGACCGATATATAAAGTACCACGTACAAGAGTTTGAGAAAAGTTTTTCTATCAAGTTTCCAGCTTGTTCTATTGCTGCAAAGAGGCACATAGATTCAAGCACCACAATCTTAGATGTTCAAGGCGTGGTATGTTGGTTCTAGATATTATTGTGTTTTTATTACTCGAACGGTTCGTGATCAAGCCATTCTAATTAATTTTAGCTTGCACATTTTTGTTGTTTCTTTATTTAGGGCCTTAAGAATTTCACGAAGTCTGCTAGGGAACTCATCATGCGGCTGCAGAAAGTTGATGGTGACAATTACCCGGAAGTAAGCAACTTCACATTTTTTTAATGACAACATAAAAAAACTTATATAATATTCTCAATCTCAATACATCACTCGAAGTTGATGCCATTGTGAGGTATGATGAATGGAGCTTTAAATTTTGTAGCTTGCCTTTCTTTCTGGTCGATGTGTATCCAATACTCCAGCGTTGCTGCATTTCACTTGGAAAACACATAGATTAGTGCAGGAACATAACAAATAGATGAGAGACACTAAATTTTGAATTTCATTTTCAATAAGACACTTCAAATTATTAGCGTAGTGATTGTTTGGTTTTGGATATTATTCATAATCTTTACATAACACGTTGCCTCATGATACTATCACTAGACATGTCAGGATTTTGAAGGGTGTAATGTACAAATGGTCGTGTTGTCGACATTAGACTACATACTGAACAGCATATATTTATACATCTTTACTCAATTCTAAGAAGTTATTTACATGTTTTTGCTTTTTCTTGGGTTTATAATTCCATCTCCTTTCTTCTTTTACACTTTCTTAGTCTGATATTTATCATGTAGTCATTTACTTTCTTTAATAGTATCATTTACTTTTGTACAGACTCTCAGCCAAATGTACATTATCAATGCTGGTCCTGGATTCCGGATGCTATGGAACACCGTGAAGTCTTTCCTTGACCCCCGAACAACATCTAAAATTCATGTATGTAGTGAATTTCATTTTTCTCCTATTCTGTAGTCGTTATTCCAGAATTCATTTATGCTTGTTCAGGTTATGACTTCTTTTGTTCTTCTGTATTTAAATTTGTGTTAGGTTCTCGGGAACAAGTATCAAAACAAATTACTTGAAGTAATTGATTCCAGGTAACTAGGGTTGATTGATGTTCCAGATACCATATATCATGTCTTTATGCTTTTCTTTGTCAGTCATTAAAACACTCCGTTCATTTATTAAGTGCATGTTTTGTACAGTGAGTTGCCGGAATTTCTGGGTGGAAATTGTACCTGTGCAGATTCGGGGGGGTGTCTTCATTCAGACAAGGGGCCCTGGAGAAACCCAGAAATTTTGAAGGTTGATTCTGCCATTCGAACCTTTGATCTCTTATCATTAGTTCTAATTTAGGGGACGGTATTTGAATCATGAATGTGCAATTTTTGGCAGATGATTCTTAATGGTGAAGCACGACAAGCCAGACAGGTTGTAAAAGTTCTAAATAGCGAGGGGAAGGTTGTTGCATATGCTAAACCACATTACCCAATGGTAACTTCTTTATCTAAAGAACTATTATGATTAGGGGATATTTCTCTCGTAATTTCTATAACAAATCATTAAAACGTTCTTTTTTCTTTACTGAACTATAAAAGGTGAAAGGTAGCGATACATCCACTGCCGAGTCGGGATCTGAAGCTGAAGAGATCGCTTCTCCTAATGCAATGAAGAACTATTCTCATCTTCGGTTGACTCCTGTTCGAGAAGAAGTAAGTTTTCACTTGTTAATAAATCTATGTGGTTGCTTCCCAATAAATGTTGGTTTTAGTTGTGATTATGAGCAGCCTGCTGTCCCCTCTCTTTTTACATATCAACTTGTGTTCGAGTTAGCATCTACATTTTAGCGTTGCATGGTTGGAAAACTTCTTGAGTGCTGCTATCCAATGCATCATAGTTTATATTATTAAGAAATTTTATAGCTGTAGCTTTTCTTAACGTTACTCATTGGTTGTTGCAGGCAAGAGTTGGTGGTAAAGCAGGCTTTGTTGCTACCTTCTCTGGGTATGATGAATATGTTCCCATGGTTGACAAAGCTGTTGATGCTGGATGGAAGAAGCAAGGTTCACTCCAGCGTCCTAGCGCCTTTAAAGGTTAGCAAGTCCAATCTGATCAATCGTAATTTCTGTGAACCATATCGGTCAATAACTTTGGACATTGTAATATATTGATCGAATCATGCCCGCAATGCTGATGGTTGAATATATACTTTTCTGGTTAGGACCATGGTAGAAAAGGGTTGATCGCAAATATAAAGAAACCCTGTTTAACGATAAAATGCACGTCATTGGGATTTGTTTAAGACGTTCTTTTGTAATTTTAGGACTTAGATGATAGTTGCCCAATGAATTTAAGATTTCTTTATCTATTGTAGGGGTTCTTCCACTGCCTGATACTCGAAAAGCACCCGAAGCACTTCATACTCGAATGTTGGTAGTACTCATGGGGTTCTTCATAGCCATTTGGGCTTTCCTCCGTTCACTGGCATGCCGGATGAGTGGGAAGAAATTGTCTATGGGGAGTCAAAACAACCCAGAATTATTGTCCTCTGATCAAACAGCCACAGAGGAGAATCGCTCCCCTTCACCGATTGCTAAAGTTACGGAAGCAGAACTACTCTCAAATCTAGTAAAGAGGCTGGGCGAGCTGGAGGAGAAGGTCGATACACTTCAATCGAAACCATCGGAAATGCCATACGAGAAAGAGGAACTATTAAATGCTGCTGTCTGCCGTGTCGATGCTTTAGAAGCAGAGCTGATTGCTACCAAGAAGGTATATACTGCTAGACTCTTTATCTTCTCAGTTCTTGGAAGCTTGAACTTTCTGCTATTTAGTCATTCCTCCTCTTCACATACGAGTCACTCGTCTTTGTTGGGTCGGCTGGAACTTTTCGTGTGTGTGTTTATTGTGTATGTACATCTAGTTTAAGTCGCCATTTTACCGAGCAGGCTTTGCACGAAGCGTTGATGAGGCAAGAAGAACTGCTCGCATACATCGATAGCCAAGAGGAAGCGAAGTTGCGGGTAAGCTAATATATTTACTTCTCCCTCCCATGTTAACAATGAAACCCAGTTTCCTGATTGATGTATGTCCTCCTTTCATTCATTAGAAGAAGAAATTTTGCTGGTAATATGAACATCTCATCTCGATCTCGGGAGAGAGAAGAGGATTCCGCCGAGTGCAGTTGGCTCTCATGTATCGACCACGTCGGAGTTTAAAGATCCGCTGCTCGCCGCCATTGATCTAACTGACTTTATATTTCAATCAATGATGTGATTATCTCCGAAGAGGAGGAAAACGCATACACAGTCTGTGTGAAGAAATTACTACAATGTGAAGCTTTCTTGTTTGATAAGAATATGTATTTATGCTGTAAGATTTTTGTTCTGTGTTTTCACCTTCATCGAATGAAACGAAGTACCACAGTTCAAGATACTTGTGATCCTTTAATTTACGAATATGAGTATAGCTCAACTAATATAAAGTAGTAATATAAAAAATTAAAATACTTTATTTAAAAATGACAGATTTTTTTTTTACCTTCTAAAGTAGAAAAATGATCGTTTATTAAGTTAAAGTGTTAATATATTAAGTTAAGCAGATGTTATCCATATGAATATAGATCAACTGATAGAATAATTCATCACGATTAAATAAATGTAGAGTATTATGATACATATGCTCGTGATTCAAGCAAAATTTTTAAAAAATTATTTTTTTAGATAAAATAATCTTTTTTTATTTGTTCTCCCTATATTATTTCCTCATATCATCCGATTGAAGATGACAAAAAATGCAAAAAAAAAAAAAAAAAAAAAAAAAAAA